AAGTATATGTGGCTAAGCCACGACCTCCTCCACACACCCCAGCGCACCCCCAAGTTTGTAATTGAGCCTGATCCCATTCAGACCCGCTTCAATTAATTTCGTTAAGATTTAATTACGTGTAAAGTGGTTTAAAAAAAAAAAGGACCGGAGCCCAAGTTATCACACGTGCCACTCCATGAGGGGTGTCAACTTTCAAACCAGCTGCCGCTGGTGTATCAGGGACCCTTAATAACTGTTTCTTATGTAGCTTAATCCATACCTTCCGCCTGGCGTGCCTTTCATTCACATCAGAGTTGCGGAAGCTGGGGGATTAAGGATCGTAAAGCAAGGGCACTGGCCCACCGACAGTTCAAAGAGCCCTGCACTTCCATCGGCTCAGCTGAGGGTTACAAGCTCTGGGAATGGGATGCAAACTTTTGATCTTCAGTTCCACTCCCTATACATTTACCTTGATCATTCCATGTGCGGTAGATTCAGCAAGGGGTAGGTAGATGTGCAGGACAACAAAGCACCTTTTGACCTTGGAGACTAGAGATACTGTGCATAGAGATTAGGGTCAGTTCATTAAGAGGCTGTTGTTCTTTGGATGCGATTCAGGCAGCACCTGGTAAGACTGGCCTCAGGAAAGTTATGTAGATTTCAGCATGTACAGTAATCTCCTTCATCTCTACATTGTGCTTTTTAACAGATTTAAAGCTTTTTGAATTCTGTGGGGCCTCTGATCTAAACCAGGCAATCACTGGCTGTTGAAATGGCTGCAGTTTCGTACCCTTAGTGAAACAGGAACAAAAGGCATCACGTAACATATTGAGTTACGGATTAGATAATGTGTCTTGCTTTAAAACAATTCTGAGAATGTTACACTGTTAATGTAAGAGCATTGCACAGAATAAAGTCATATTTGTCTGAAATAATTGAATCCCAGAAAACAAATCTATAACATTCTGCTCCATAGAAGTGCAAAGAAACTTTATAAAGAATCCCGCGAAGGTTTCCCTGGGGTATAAATGGAGGTAGCATACAGAAGGCATTCAGTAGTAGCGTGTATCACTGTCAGAGTGTCTTATGGTCAAATGAAATACTTTTTTTTTTGGACACAGTCACAGGTATCATGCTTGGTTAAAAATGGTGCTTATGTGAAGAAGGCTTTGGGGTTGATGTGTATTTGTTTTGTGCTGGAGCGCCTGTCAAGACCGGGGGAATCTTGAGCTACAGCATGTACCAGGGCACCTTGGTCCCCTCTGTCAAGAAGCTCAAACAGATAATCCAGCATGACCGGAGACCAAAGCATAGTGACCAAAGTGACAAAGAATGAATTAATTCCACATAAACTAATCTACTGTAACTACCAGCTACTGTACCTCCCCTGTCCAACTGCACCTCCAGACCTCGGTGCAAGGGGAACGTGTGATGGGAACGGAGGGACCTAGAGCAATCTGGGCAGCCAGGTGGGGCACTGGTCAGGGTTCTGGGCTGGTACTGTAGCTGGGAGGTTGCAGGTTCAGATCCTAGGGGGACACACTGCTGAGCAGGGTAACTGGTCTGAAATGCTCTCGTATCGTTACCAGCTGTAAAAGTGGGTGCCAAAGTACAGTATGTTGCTTTGGATGAATATAAATTAGTCATTTTAATTGTAGTCAATTGTAATCTATGCCAGAGGAGGATTTGCAAAATGCTACCTACAGGGGAGTGAATAAATTATGATCCATTATTTGTTTGGATTTAGTAGTTATGAATAATATGAATTTGTCTTTGTAGTGCTATTAAGACTGCAATGTCGTGTTTTTTTCCTATTATCACCCATTTTACAATCTGTACATTTTTTTCTTTTATAAAAAAAGTTTTTTTATTCCTGTTTCAATGTTGCTGTGGATCTGTGAAGAGTGTGGGGACAAAAGTGATAGAAGGGGCTGTGTTATTGGCCCAGGGTGTCTTACTCTTTATTACTTTACCAAGTCACCAAAAAAAAAATGTGACTCTTCAATTGCCAAGGCCAACACTCAGTTTGCTCTTCCTTAGTTACAGCTGTACTCCATTCAACAGCTATATAAAGGGCCCCGGATTTTTTGTTTGTATGCTGTTGATCCTCTGTTTTCCACAAAAACATGGGGTACTTAAAAAACTAACATCTGATTTTAAAAAATTATATATTGTCAGCGGTAGGCGTTTTCTTAAGATTTGGAATACAAACTGGCATCCAGACCTTTTGAGACTTTAAATTTATAGTTTTACGTTTAATGAACAATTAAGAGACAGTATTAGGTTGTTTTTTTTTGCTGGAAGGGTTTGCTTTTTTAATGTGAGCTTTGTGCTGTGAATAAAGGTCAAATTTGACCTCAGTATCAAATCCCTTCGTTGTGTGGAAAATCTTTCATTTCCATCTGTGGTGACCAGCAGCCCCAGGCTGTCACTGCCTATAGAACTGTAGAAACACATGTGCGTTGTGTTTGATTTTAAGTGTCAGACCCCCATCAGCTCCAGGACTTTCTCATACAAAACTAATGGAGAAAGAAAAAGTTGCTTTTTTTTGCAATTCATCAACTACAAATTCTCATTCTCTTGGAGTGACTTGTTACAAACAATATATGTTTCGTGCACATTCTCTTCCCTTTTGCTTGGTCCTTCAGCTGCAGTTACAATGTTATCAAAAAGTGCTCCAGGTTTGAATAGCCCTGTCCCTGCAATGAAAGTCCAGCTTAGAAAAGCCTCTCGAATCGGTCATTCGGCAGCCAGTGTGTCTGATTCTGGCTGCCAGCTTCTTGTGCAGTGCTGGAAAAGATCTCTTGCTCTGCAGTTTTACTGTGCTTTTTTTTTCACTTTCAAACACACAAAGAAATATTTTTGGGGGGCATTTGCTATTCAAATACATTAAGGCTACTTCAATTAGCTAACACTCCCTGCAGCAATTCATTTCATGCCAAAGAGTCGATGATAACACCCTCCTTTAATAAAATCCAGTGACTTGTGGATTACTGATGAATGCTGCCATTGTTATCCACCATGCACCTTATCAAATACCTTTTTTTTCAAATCATCGGTCGGGGATATGGAAAATTATGTAAAAATTGCATGATTCATTCTCATTACCATTTTGGAAGATCTTTCAATCAGGCGAACGGCAAATGGGTGTTTGTTTTTTTCTGTTTTACAGAACTCCATGTACTAGGAAACTGTAATATCGTGTCATAGCTATATACACATATGAATATCTATATATTTAGAACTTGATAAAATGAGTAGATTTTGAGCATTCAAGAAAATTGTCTTTGAAAGGACAAGAGATGTCATGTTTCCACCTGAAAGGAATGTCCCACTCTTATGACTTTTGCAAACCTTGCGAACTTTTAAGTAGGTAAAGGCAAGATTCTTTCACTTCCAATCTCATGTCATGGGCTCTGGGCAATG